CCATTATAAAGCACAAATGATCTATAATAACCAAATAATATTTTAATTAGCAAGTGATAATTGTTTTTAAATCAGTGTGCTGCCTTTCCAAGCTGGTAAACACCAAACAAAATTTCTTTTCCAAGAAGTATAACAAGAGCAGTAGCAATAAACGTCAAATAACACAAATAGAAAGATGAATTAATTAAAATGCTATGATTACAGAATTACTACGGACTTATTTGTGCTCTAATTTTTATAATAGTGAAGAGAATTTTTACTTTCCTGAATACATAACATAGTTCTATGCTGTTTACCTCACAATATATACAAGTTTCCTAATAGTCAAACATAGAAAACGCCCTCTTCTCTTTACTCTCTAGATTAGTTGCATCAAAGTCATTAACAAAGACAAGATGTAAAGAAGTTCAATTAAAAGTATCAAGAACAAAGCCGGACTCGGTGGCTCAACCTGTAATCCTGTGCCTTTGGGAGGCTGAGGTGAGTGGATTGCCTGAGCCCGCGGGTTTGAGACCCGCCTGGGCAGCGAGACCTCATCTCTACAATAAATCAAAAAATCAGCCGGGCGTGGTAGCATGCCTGTAATTCTGGCTACTTGGAAGGCTGAGGCGGAAAGATTGCCGGAACCCAGCAGGTCGAGGCTGCGGTGCCCGGGAGTGGCCACTGCACTCCAGTCTGGGTGACAGAGTGAGACTCCAACTCAAAAAAACAAACAAAAAAAAGTATCAAGAACATATCATCTCACATGCATAAGGATGGCTATTATGAAAAAAAATAGTGTTGGTGAGGATATAGAGGAAGTAGAATCTTCAGACATTGCTAGTGGAGCCAGTTGCTATGAAAAACAATATGATAGTTCTTCAAAAAAATTAAAAGTAAAACTATCATAGATCCAGCAATTCCATCTCAGGGTATATATCCAAAAGAATTGAAAGCAGGATCCCAAAGAGCCTTTTGTACACTCATGTGCATAGGTAAATTATTCACAACAGCCAAAAAAAGAAGCAACCCAAGTGTTCACTGATGTATGAATAAATAAGCAAAATGGGGTATATACATACAATGGAAAATTTTCCCTATGTGACTAGGAAATTTACTAATACACTGCAATCTGAATTAGAAAGCATTCAGAGATGGTCAATTCTTCCATGAATTAAACAATTCTTCCTCTAACTATCTTACCCAATGCACATCAAAAATGGTCCTAACTTTTTAAGGGCCCTTGCAAATTAAATAAAAAGAGTCCCCCCCCCAACATACAATCAGCTTCAGCAACATGAATAGTTCAAACAGATTTCTCTAGGTCTTGTCATTCTTATGTATTCTTTCACTTCTGATTCTTAAACAGATTTTAATATTATCTATACATGAGTCAGAGTTCAAATAATTAAGCTAGCTTATAAATCAGCAATAAGAAATCTAACGCATAAACAAGGTAATATGTTTTATCTCTTATTTACAGCACATAGTCTATGGGAACTTAAAAGTATTTTTGAGAATTGCCTCCATAAAGAACACAAATGAATATAATTTAGAAGAAAGTACTTTACATACAGTATCTCCTTTGCCTATAATATTCATCTCTTCAAAAGAAACAGCATAAATGACTTTTATAACTTACACAGCATGCATTTCTCCATGTAAATAATTTAATTTTATCACACCAAGACTAGCTATTTGAATGTATCAAAGTTATGTAGCACCTTAGATATGTTTCTAATATAGTGATAACATCAAGTTAAACTTGATAATACTTTCCAATGCACTAATGAGAAACCACAATTGCAACAGGAGGCCTTATAACACAACCAAATAGACACATTACACATACAGAAAATGAAATCAAAACTTAATATATTTATAATTCTAAATAGAAGATAAGCTACTAAAACAACTAAATATTTTCTTTCAAAATTTGGCACGCATGCAAATTACTAAATCAAACAAACCCTTAGGTACATTAATCAGCAAAAAGAGAATGGCAAGTTCCTCTAGTCTTACACTTAACATACCTACTGGATTGTGATAGAAACAAGGATCCTCAGAGTAACTACCCAAAGGAACGAGCTTGTCAGGTCACCTCTTAATCTCTACCTTGCCACAAGTTACATTCTGCACCTACAGTTACAACAGATCAAAAGTTAAAAAGCAAAACCAGAAAGTCTTGCTTAGAGATTCACAATTTTCTCATGTTATTTTTCCTCCCCTGGCGTTCTTGCTTTGTCATGTTCACAAAACAGCTCACTCAGTTCATTCAAGCCCAGTAAATAGTTGTATTACATTTGGAGTATGTACTGTAGTTTTAGGTAAAATGGAGAATGCCTATTACATTGTTCTATCAGCTTAACACAGACTTAAGAGTATGATTTAGTCAGTTTAGGTTGTTTTTTCTCCTCTGAGGCAGTAGGCCCCTCATCTAGTCTGATTGCTTTTGGTTTAAACATCATTATCTACATATACATAAACACACACGCTCTCTCTTAATAAAACTCATTACAGTTTTATTTCTGAACCGTGTCCACATAAATTTCATTTATTTATCTGATTACAACACTATTAATACATATTCTGTGTCAATATTGAGTAGATAAGCCTGGGTTTCCCTTAATCAACTTTTTCCTCCTCTATTATTCTGTCTTCCTTTCTAACAATATTGGTGCTTAAAATAATTAATTCTTTAATTTACCATCAACTCCTTTCAACATTAGCAGTTCAAATGGGTGAATCATAACATAAATCTTCCAGACATATTAATATAAAAAGTGTTCATTCAATATATATCTTATTCTAATAATATTTATTTGGGACAGTTCCTTTAAAAATATATGTATGCAATTTTAATAACCATTACATTAGTCTATAGTACTCATCAAATGACAGTAATTTTTTAATGAGGGAATTTTTGTTTAAAAAAATGTATTTCTGACATACTTCCTATTCAATGTTGCAACATAAACTATTCAACTTCATATAGAACCATCCAGTGTACATGAATCCAGGAAAGGTAGTAAAGATTTATGTCAAGAGCCTGAAACAGAAAAGAGGCATCTGGCTTTAAAAAAAAACCAAACAAACAAACAAAAAAACTCACCTATGAGGACTCTACTATGTAAATATTGCAATCAGAATGGAACTCAGAATAAAATATTTCCCATCATAACTGAAAAAAAAAATTTGTTTTCACACTAGGCATTTCTTTCTTTAAAGGATTTTACCTGATAAATATTTTTCTAAACTATGAATAAGTAATTAATAGTACATCCTGACAATTCTTAACAAAGAAAAAGTTCTTTCAAAATACAAGTATGAAGAGGCAAAGACAAATTCTCCATGAATGCTTACATTCTAACATACTATATTATTGCCAAGAGGCCAATGCCAAATTAGGAAAACGATGCTAAGTTGAGATATCTAGCTACTTTAAAATAGATATTCTAATTTTTTTTCCACCCAGTGAAGTAGTCGGAGATCAATTTTTCTTAGAATACTAAGATCAAACGTAGACTTTAGTGGTAGGTTAAATGATGAATATTATTTTATATTCTAGGAAGAAGTATCAAATTTTCTCAAAACACAACAATTCATTATTATAATCCATTATTCAAGTGTAATTTTTCAAGTTTTTATACCATTGAAGTTCATGAGTGTATTTTTTCATGGTAGTATTGCATTAAGCAGATATATAATACTATTATACTAAAATATGCCTTACAAATAATAAATAATAATAATTTACTTTATGCATTTAAATAAATGAGGTATGTTGAAGAAATTATAAAGTTTCCATCCATATCCATAAGGAAAATAGAACTCTCCATGCAATTAATTATTCAATATTAATTTACTAGGTATATTTACATCCACATAGAATAATTATATTCTTGGTTAAATTTTCATAGGACTGAAAGGACAACTATCAATCTTCACAGGAATAAAAATCAAGGAATAAGAATATTAACAATCTTTGTGTGAGGAAAAGACAGATTGAGAATAGAAAAAAATAAAGAAACTGGATTTGGACACTCATGCCAAACTTATAACCTTATAAACTTTAATATTTCAATACATTTTAAGCACTCTTTCATAATAATATTTTTTTAATGACTAGTCAACCATTAAAGAATCAATAATAACCTTCAGGTTCAAGAAATACTTGTGTTTATTCCTCACGAAATTCTCAAAGATTTATTAGTGAAAGTTGTGGAAGGTAGATGGACGTTCTTTTATGATACAGTTTACTGCATGCATAATATACATAATTAAAGAAAGCACTTATCAGAACTCAATTTTCTTTTCCCTGCTGCCCCAGCTTAACTAGCTTTGATTTTTTTTTTTTAATTAGGGTGATCCTACTGGGAGAGTATGTTTTTATATAAGATAGTATCCATATTTGCTAGTAAATATAAAACTGCAAAAAATAATTCATGAAATAAAAAAGTAATATTATGGTAGAATATATGCTGATAAAGAATGGAAGTGACTCATAAGAAAATTAAAAAGTGAAATCTATAAAATGCTCAAAAACTCCTGTACCACATAGTTTTCTAATATAAAAAATTATAAATATATACAACATACTCAAATATTGATTATTATAAGTAATTATTTTATACTTATTATAATTACAAATAATTATTAGAAACAATATATTTCAAAAAGCCTAATATGGATGTGAACAAATTTAATCTCACCTTTCTAAGCAAATCAACTACCAATATCTTCCTTAACTATTATCTACTGCCACATTGGCAGGATACCATCAGCCTTACCCCTGTTCCTTCAAAGTCGATCATTAATCATGACACATTCCTTCTTCTAAAATACTCTACTCCTAAAAAGAAATTGTTTCATCCAACTTCACTCTACATAATACAAATTATCAGAAAATAAGAAATGTCTCTACCTTAAATTAGTTCTCAGTTGTAACTTCTTTGTAAAAAAGGAACACCAATAAAAAAAAAGTTGTAAATTATACTAAATACTGGAAAACAAATACTCACAAAGAAGGATCTTGTACGAGATCTTTGAGATTTATCCCACTGCGATCTTCTGCAAGATTCCTGAAGCAACTATCACTCACTAAACAGAAAAGGGGGAAAGAAAAGAAAATTAATTTTTGTTCATATTTCATTTAAACTACTACTGAACAAGACATTTTGAAATGAAAATTGGCTTGTTTTATTTTTTTCCAAACATGCATACCGATTGATTTTTAGGCCTGGTAAATTTAGTAACAAATAGTACATTTTATAAAATAATATCTATGTAGGTCTAAACTTCGTTCTTACAAGATTGATTTACTATACACAATGGCAATTCACAGCTATCATAACAACTATTAAATAAACAGAATACCTCTCAAAATCACATTTTTTAAAATAATGGAGAGCAGTGGAAACAAAAATTATATACTGAACTTACATCACTTGAGCCTGGTAATTATTTTAATTTCTGGGAGAATGAGCCATTTAGACACAGGCTAAGGATCAGAAAAGGATCAGAATGAAGGATACTACTTTTACCAAGGAAAACAGAAACCATAGCTCTTGATGATTTGTAGACCGGCATGACAAACTGGAATCTAGTGGAACACAACAATACAGACAGTTTTCTCCCTGAAAGATTTGTTGAGTGCTGTAATTGCATAAGATGATTTGAAGTGAAGGGGAAGAAGGGAAGAGGCTAAGGAGGGCAAATGATAATTCTTGTAGTGCTGTGGTGATTAGGAGTCAAACTCATACTAGAACAGGTGGGACGTACCACTGTGAGAATAGAATTTCAGTGGGTCTTCCTCCAAGACATTTCCTCCCAACCCAAAACATCTATAGACACCTCTTATTACCCCCCACTCCCACCATGAGGAAGGAGAATGAGTAAAAGGAAGCAGGACCAGAAAGGAGTAAAATTCTCCAACAATTTTACAGCATAAAAATACAAAGTCACCACAGAGGAAAAAAAAAATGCAAGTCACAGCTCTTGACCATAAGACAGTTAAAAATCAGAGGTAGTCTATGTGTATCTAAAACTGTCATCCAAACTCCATGTAGTTCAATTCATGGTTGAGTGGAGGCGATCAGCACATCATTATATATTCCTAATATATGACTGAGCAAAAATAACATTTATGCCTATTTCTGCTGTTTTATTATAAACAATTTTTGGTATATAATAAAAATTATAAGGTATGGGAAGGGGCACAAAATGTGACCTATAGTTAATTTAAAAAGAATACATACAAGCAAATCTATACACAGTACAGAGTTAGGAGACAAGTAAGTCTTAACAGGATTTACTGAGTCAGGTGTGGTGACTCACATCTGTAATCTCAATGACTCAAGAGGCTGAGGCAGGAGAACTGCTTGAGGCCAGAGTTCCAGACCAGCATAGGCAACATAGTGAAACCTCATCTCTAAAAAAATAAAAAGGCATGGCAGCATGTGCCTGTAATCCCAGCCACTGGGGAGGCTGAGGCAGGAGAATCACTTAATTCCGGGAATTCGAGGCTCCAATGAGCTATAATCATGCCAGTACACTCCAACCTAGGTGACAGTGCAAGACCCCAACTCTAAAAATAAAACAAAAAAATCTTTTTATTATAAGAGCAAAGAAAAACCTCAGTCGATGAAAAAAGAAAAATTTCAGCAAGAATTAAAATCTAAGAAAATAATTAAATAGTAAATTTATATTTGAAAAACACAATATCTGCAATTAAGAAGTCAATGGGTGAGTTTTATAATCAACTAAATACTGCAAAAAACAGGATTAATGAACTTGAAGATACATCAGCAGAAGATATCCACAATGAAGCAGAGCAAGGTAAAAACAAGCAAGGTAAGAACCAAGCATAAGGGGCATTTTGATATCTAACAGTTTAACATACATATAATTGCAGTCACAATAAAGCAGAGGAAAAAATGAAGAGAAACAATACTTTCAGAAAAATTAAAAATTCTTGAGAATAACCCAAAACTGAGAATGATCTTAGGAAGACTAGGAAATACCATACTGGAAAAAGTGAAAAGGACAACCAGCAGTCAAAATGCTGAAAATCAAAGATAAGTGTATCTTAGGAGCAGCCAGAGAGAAACAAAGGACATATCACACTAAAAAACAACAGCAACAACAAAACTTAAAGATGAGTTTTCAACAGGAACTATGGAATCCAGAAGAAAATAGAACAATGTTTAAAATATTGGAGAAAAACTATAAATCCAAAGGTTTGTACCTTGATTAAAAAAAAAAAATCCATCCACAAATGAAGGTAAAATAAACAAATTTATTCATATAATATTTTTATCTTTGTTAACATAAAGATTAAGTGATTCTTTTCCATTTCAATTTAATAATCTTATATATGTCTTAGCCATTTCTTATCTACATAATGAGCAAAAATATGTAACATTTGCCTAGTTCCTTTCAAAGATCAGTTACCTGATATTTTATTAATATTTTTATTTTATATTCCCTTATTGCAATGTCTCAAAACCACAAGCTTTAAGCTCTCAAAATCTATATCTGCCTCTGATACAAATGATTAATACACACAAAAATAATACATTAAAAACATCTAAAGCTGAAAATGTTTGAACTTTTATTAATTTCCAACAAGATATCTCCTCACTGTTTTTGTAATTGGTGGAGTAGTTTTATTAATATATAATTTTCAATCCATCTTTAATAGACATTTATTCTAATCTTTTGATTTGTGACAAATTACCTGCTTTTCAAAATTTTAAAGCAAATATTTTTTATTATACCATTTTCTGAGTTGGGCCAAATAGAAAAAAGAAAAGAGTTGGGCCAAAAAGAAAAAAAAATGTTGATACACTGTAAGAAAAGTTGATTTCCAGCTAAGCCGAACTAAAATTGAAGGTATATTATATCATAAAATTTGTTCTCATAATATTTCTTGCCCATTTTGGGATATATGAAAGGCTTAGTTATAAACTTAAAGAGCCTGAAAGTTTTGGAGGCTTAATTAAAATGGAGTAAACCTTTGCCCTTTTAAAGGCTTGCTAGTCAGCTATCTGTGAAATGACTTTTGCTAAAGAAGACAGTTTTCCAAAATGCATGTACCATCAAATTTTAAGTTAAAATCAGAGGAAGAAATCTTTTAACAAAAATTCTGAAACTTTGGCTGCCTAATAAAGTATATTTATTGTTTTCAATTTAGACTTTTTCATAAATGCAAAAAATGTCATTTTTGAATCATAAATAAGAAGTGACTAATTTTAAGAAGCTAGTGAATATTTTTTCATGTATAAATCACACTGAAAGTGATGGTTTTTTGCCACCCTATTTTTCTGGCTTTTTCTCCCATACGAGTCATCTAAAAAAATTACTATAGTATTTGCTCCACTCATTTTTTTTTCTAACCACTAGACCACCAGGGATGCTCCACTAATTAATGAAAATTCCTCAATGTTTTATAACAAAAGTCAGATAAAGCAGGAAAAATTACAATAGAAACATGTAGTCAAACTACATGGTACTAACAAAAATTATAAACTTGCATCTCAATCTGGTTTGATGTTAATATAATAATTAACCCAGAGAGGAAAGAAGGGAAAATTACCTAGAAATATTGTAAAACACTCTGTAGCAGAAGTCATAGCTATGTATATGAATTTTTCTGTAAATGTTCATCTTTCTGATACATAGTAAGATAAATATGTTAACATTTCATCATGTGGTAAGCAATTCACATTCATTACCTCACTTAATCTTCACAATTATCCAAAGACAGACCTATTATTTTTATCCCTGTTTTACTGATGGGATAACTGGAGGATGGGGACAGTAAGCATCCTACTAGAGATTACGTAGTTATTAAATAGCAGTACTGAAAGAAACCATGCCCTATAAATCCAGAGGTTGTACTTTTAGCCACTATGCCATATTGACCATGATTCTCATTTATTTCCCATTATTCCAGATTACGATGCATTTCTATAGCTTTAAAACAAAAAAGTGATACAATTAAAATATACTATGTGAAAATAAATGTCATTTCAAAGCATTATTCAAGAATCACATATTTTTTAAGTTGAAAGAAATATAAAGGATCTTTTAGTTAAGTGGTTAGGAAATTGTGTTTCGTGGGATTCCATAGATTCTACGGAAGTTCTTTACCTCTTTCAACGAGTTCTTTTATTTGTTTTATATATTAGATAACTTTCAAAGATTTTACTTGAAGAAATTTCCCAAAGAAAATTGGTACAAGGTGAAACACACACGTACACACTTAAAACTTCACTAGTTCTACCCTCTATTATTTCACATATGAAAATGATGGTTTGTCCATGGTCAGCACGAATCAGTACTCAAACTTAGTATACTTAGAACTATTTGTAAACTAGATTATTTAGCAGGGTTCTTAGTTAATAATTTGCACTTTTTTCTGTACATATTCATCTCATGGCAAGAGTTGAAATCTATTATGTGCTTAGCACTGCATATTCATTTTCAAACATACTCATAAGTCTAATGTAGCATTACATATAATCACTATTATATTTTATAAAATCTTTATAAGTTCTATTATTTATTGCATCAGATTATTTGAAACTATGTATGAAAGACCTAACCATCTCTTTCTTATTTCTAGAATGACATTAACATCTTACCTTTCTCTAGTCAGAAAAATTTTCCTGTAATAAGAGAATTACTATCTTCAAAATTCATGTCTAAAATACAGCATCAAAGAAATTCAGTATTAATGATCCTGATTATACTGTACCATGCTAAAAACCTGAAAAATCAAACAATTAACTGTTTGAAAATTGCTAAAGATAGAGAAAACAGATTTAACTCAAAATTCACTCATTCTGCTGTTTCCAAATAGCCAATGAAATAAAATTCCACAGTAAGAAATATCACCACAAAAACAATTTTTAAAACTTCAGGTTTATACTACAGAGAGATTCCAGTTAATTTATTCAAAGTTAGATGAAACAAGTGAGAAAATAATAAAGACATAAAATGATAAGTGTTTCAAAAAACAAATATCTGAATACCAAAAAGTTAGGAGTTGGTTCTTGGGAACGTTAGTTTTCCAAAAATGTCCTTTTCTATGATCA